TTTTTTTTTTTTTTAATTTTCTTTTCCTTAGGGAACTGTGTATATGTTCTTGATCTTTGTTTTCATTCTTCTTTTTATATATAAAATGGCTGCTAAGCTCTGTTCTCTTAATTAAAAAAGTTACAGTGATTGAATATTGATGGATAATGAACATTTGTTGCATTTTTTTTTTAATAAATGGAGTTAACAAGTGTGAGTTGGGCAAGATAATTAGCGTCTGATGTTTTTTTTCCCAAATAAAAAATGTTGAAAAGACTGAATTGGGTTGGACTATGGGCATCTGTTGTGTTCTTTTTTAGTTTTTTAATGAAAGAAAAGTTAAGAATCAAGCATTTTGTTTAATGATGATTGAAATTTTGCATGTTTTGAAACTTTTGCATTAAAAACAAAAATATAATTTTGTCTCCACCATGCTGCCATTTTCTGTTACGCTGTCTGCCATAGATATCTGGCAGTTTTTTTTTTTTGGCCTTTTGCCATGCCGACATCCGCCGTTGATTACAATGGTGAGGCTGTAAAAAAAAAAGCCTGTGATGCATTTGATGGACACTTAAAAACCCTAGGGTTCCTAATATATCTTGGTTATCTATATGATAATGCCATTACTTTAAGCAATCAGACCAAACGTAGCATTTTTACGTTGCAATGACCTCTTATTAGTTTGCTTGTTTTGCAGTTGGAAATTATTGAGGAAATTGGTTTACGGTAATGCGTTGGAGAACTTTTTGGTTCCTGTTCCGAGTGGTTCATTTGCCAATTGTTGGAATTATTATTGAAATTTTCATTATTGTTGATGCCTATACATTTCTTCTGTCAATGCTCAGTTCTGAAGCTTTATGTCCATCATTGAACTCCCTTTTGGTTTGGCCTTGGCCCTTGATAAAGATTTTGTTGAACACTTCTGGAGAATGTGTTTTAGGATTGTATGGGGAAGAGCAGTGATTAGATGCTTTTTATTTGCAGACTTTATATAGTTTGAAAGATTTTAGGAAACAGGATTAATAGACAAATGCCTATAACGTAGACGGTTAACACATCTAAAAGTTTTTCAACAAACAATGGGACTAAATTGTTGTGGCATTCCACCAATTTAGCTTCTGTTAGAAGAGAGTGAATAGTCCTTACTTCTTTCAATGTTGTAAAAGAGTTTCATTTTTCAATTATTTCTATCTTTTAGCTCTCAAACATTGTCTACTTCAGTTAGTTCAATTCGTTTTGTCTTCCATACTAGCTGTACTCATCCTATCGTATTGTCAAGAAAAACTGAGCTTTTTGAGAACAAGCTATACTGTTGACTGTTGTGTCATTGCATCTGAAATAAGCTGGAAGGTGGGAACTCAGATGCTTCTCATCTTAAGCTTCATGGTTTATGAACGGATATTTGAAGCTATTTTTCCGCATCTCTCTTTGTTTGCCCAGCTATTTTTTCAGACTTCTTTTTGTTTGCTATATGTTTTTGGGTAAGATATATAGTGGATATGAATGATGACAACTCTCCATGCACAAATCTACATTATAGCCTCCACATATTTTAATATAAACCATTTTGAAATCTGATTCTGACTAGAAAATTGGGTACTGTATTAGGTCCGCTTCACTGTTCTGGATGATTGCTTGCCGTTGCCCGAGGAAAAGTTTAAGAAAGTTATCCAGGAGAACTACTTTACGAAGACCAAGTTTGATTGCCAACTGAAGGCAGACCAGGTAAATTATCCGCATGTTCACCCCCCACAAAACATCATCTCTATACCTTGTATTTACCTCGTGTGTCCTAAAATAATTCCTTAGGTAAAGAAACTATGCAAACTGTTTGCCATTTCGAGCAAAGGTTGTCTCCCCAAAAAGGCAGGCGGGTCCCGCAGGGTCGAAAAGAAACTTCACCCATTGCACCAGGAGAGCAAAAAGCGTGTTAGGTCGGGCAAAGATGAGCAACCCCCAGCGATCCGGCACAGTGACCGCCGTCCCCACAAGCGCCCGAGGACGGCTGTTGTCAGCAGCCCATTGCGCCGCCAGCCTCCTCCCCGGGCCCCACTTGTTGCATATGCCTCACCACATCGGACTACTTCCGATGTGAACACATACAGACGGGACCCATATTCTTACAGAGACGTGCAGGAGTCCCGTCAGCCGGTTATAGTGCGAAGTGATACGTACGTGGATGGGCATGATCTGTATGTAGAGCGGCGTGATTCCTACTACAGGAACAAGGACAGGCTGTACCAATATCCAACCGTGGAGCGCCGGGATGCTTACATGGATGGGAGGGCCTACTTAGAGCTCCGGGCCCCGGATGTGGGGATCCGTGGGCGTGATCTGTACTTGGAGCGTCGGGATCCGCCCAGAGATGCAGTGTATGCCGAACTTTCTTATGGCGGTGGTGTGTACGGGCGGAGGGACCGGCTACTATCAGATAGTCGTGATGGTTATGGGGAGGGTCTGTATTTGGAGCGTGGGGGTGCTCATCGCTCGTTGAGTTTCGGGAGTAGGTACCGACCGGATTCCTTTGTTCCAACCAGGCAACTACCGCTGGCTGATGATCCTATTTATTCGAGAGAGTATCCTTACCGAGCAGGCATGGACCGGGAGTACCATCTGTAATTTGTGTTTACAGCCTGATGATGATGTTGTCATCGTGGTACTTGAAGGGATATGTGATACAGGACATCGTGCAGGATTCTTTTCTCTGGTTTTGTGTTTAATGTAGTTTTTCTGTACTGTGTTACGGCGTGTGGTTTATGGTTTGGATCTACACTATTCCTCGGCTGGTCTAGTTTTTTATTATGTGTTGGATACTTAATAACGCTGAATGACAGTTTGGTGTGTCCAATTGCAGTTTAACGTTGATGTATGTTTATATGCTCCTCTTAGACTCCTAACGAATGGAATCCTTTGATAAGGCTCCATTGTCACCCCCTAGGTAAGCCACGAAGAGATAATTACCCTAGACGAGCAAAGTTTCTTATATTTACATATTAACGATAGGAAAAAGTTAAATCCCATTTGAATCTAATGCTACCTAGAAAACGAGATACCAATTGTTGACTTGATTTTGAAACCTGATTCATTAATTAATTGATAGATTAAAAAATGTAATAAACTTAAAGTGCAATCTCTTTCCTTTTCTTTTTTATTTAAACGCACCTCAGTGTGGAATGAGAGTTGAGGCTGCACCCCCGACCTATGAATATAATGGCCCTGAAAGGGCTAATAAAGTCAGAGTTCTACATTAATGTTAAAAGAACAAAACAACATCAACAAAATCTTTTTAGTTTTCTTTCCTTTTCACCATTCCACTTCCCAAAACAAAATATTTGTCATATTCCCCATTTTGAACAAAATCAAACCGGGAAACAAATCAAATTCTTCCTCTTCATCCGCCAGCCAACATTCACGGATATGGCAAAAGTTAAGTTTCTAATAAAGCTTTTGAAGAGAGAGCAAATGTGAAGCCGAATCGAAGAATAATGATGGTCATAAAGTTCAATCATGGAAGGATGAAGCAACAAAATGACTCCGAGAGAGACGATAAATCACCCGGTCGATCGTCGGCTACAGCTCGTAACATTTTACTGTCTCCTCCCAATTAATAACCATCTTTTTTTTTTTTGGGCAGTTGATTTGAAAATTTTGTTGGGGTTATTTTTCATGAAAACAACTATTTTTGAATTTTTTATTTTCGAAACTTGGGATTACATTTGGTTGTTTTGTGTGATCTTAGGACAAAAAAAACTAAGTTGTGGCTGTTAGAGATTTTTTTTTTTCTTTTTTTTTTTCACGTTTATCTTATGCCTAGTATTAATTTGCAATCTTATTTTTTCTATAGTCGTTTTTTTTTTGGGATTTTTCAGGTTTATCATACTAATGACAATTTATTCTAGGGGAAATTCTATTGTAGGGCCTGAGTTTTAGGTATTGTGTCAGTGTCATAACATGGCCTATATTTTAAACCTTTTCATTTGAAGGTTTCATTTTTAAATTATTCTCAATATAAGACCTACTTTTATATTCTACTTTTCAATTTAAGACTCCAAATTACTTTGTAGTTTAACATAATTTTGTAAACCTTAATACTTTTTTAAAATTTATTTTTTAAATACACATAATAAAAAAATATTACATATTTTAGTAAAATTACTTAAAAAAATAATTATTTTATAATTTACATTTATACAAAAGCTTAATGAAATTTATTTTAAAAGTTAAAAAATAAAATTTAACTTAATTTTAATCTAAATATGTGATAAAATTAAAAAATAAACTATTTTAGAAAAATAAACTAAAGTAATTTAACTAAAGATATTTATAATTACTTAAAATATAAATTTTAAAATAATAATATTTAGTTTATATATTTATGTAAAAACATAAAGTTAGTTGGGGTCTTAAATTGAGAATTATAATGTAAAAGTAAGCCTTTTATGGAGAATAACTTAAAATTCACACCTGTAATGAAAAAGTTAAAAATTCAGGCATTATTATGACGCAATACCTAAAAATCAAGCCCTACACTAGAATTCATTGTATCTATATTGATGCTGCGTTAGAAATATATTAAACAAAATACAATATTTTTGGTTTGTTTAATAAATAAAACAGTAATTTTTAGGAAAAATAAAAACATTGAAAATACCTCAATTCTTCCATAAAATGTAATAAAGCCACGTAATTTACACGGTTGTTGGGAGGCTTGATTTAGGTTTACTTTCTTCCATTAAAGCATGAATACGCTACAAATTGATAAACATGAAAAAAAAACAACCTACACCACCACATAATTTACACGGTTGTTGGGAGGTTTAGTGTAAATTTATTTTCTTCCATTACAAGGTTTTTTTTTTTTTTTTTTTT